TACAGATAGATTACATAAAGATTACAGAATTATATCGCAGAACTCACTTACTGGGTACGTCAAATAGGCTTTGGGGCTGGGTTCAGGCCTAAGTTGAAATGATCAGATATGGAGACGCCCGCCAGGGAAATTTACCCTCAGAATGCGCCCTCATCAGTGATCTGAATCTTTGGCGCGAGATCAATACTCTAACAATATCGTCACTGGATATCCTCTTCCCCGTCTTCCCCTAGCCTCCTCCATTAATCAAAGGCGTCCCCTGCTCTGTGCTGGTTCCCTTTGGGCACAATAACCTTCAGCATGCCATTCTTCTTCCTCCTCCTCCTTCTCAGTATCGGGCAAGCACTCTTCCCCAACCCTAAGCCTCTTCCATTTCTCTTATAAGATGGATAAATCCATGGTAGTAGACTCATAATCGCCCTTCCACACTGTTCCAACTACAAACATCCCCCCTTCCCTAACATTTATGTTCTCCCACCTCAAACATCTCACCCAAAACCAACTCACCACAAAAAAATACTACATTTCGAAAGATCAAGTCCTGAAGATCTTTGCGGCCAATGCGTTTGATGGCTTCCTCGACGAGAGTTGCGAGTGTCCTCCTAAATTTTCCTATTCATATACACCCAAAAAATTGGAGTGATGGAACGAAAGCATAAATATCTTATAGAGACTATTTGTACCCCACTACAATAAGCTCATGTCCCATATCAATTATGAACCGAAGCCTTTCTCACAGCTGTCCATTTTATCAACCGCATGCTTACCAAAACTACCCACTAAATCTTTCCCCTATGAATATCTCCATAAATCTCCACCAACATACGCTCATCTCCAAGTTTTTGGGTGTGCTTGCTATCCTTGGAGGAAACCTCAAACTAAACCAATTATGAACCTAGATCAGTTCAATGCATATTCCTTGGCTACTCCATCCAACATAAGGTCTACAAATGCTACAATTCCAATACCAACCAAATTATTATCTCAAGATACATGGTCTTTGATGGAAACACCTTTTCATTTATTCAACACTCCCCCCTCGATTCTCCCACCACCTTCCACGACAATCCAACCCGTATCACCTCCTCCCACTTCACTTGAACCTGCTGCACCTCCTCCCACTTCACTTGAACCTGCCACCTTCTCCTACTTACTCTCCTCCACTCCCACAACCCATGGTTATTACGCCACAGACACATCCTATGATCACTAGATCCAGAACAGGCCACCTCAAATCAATTCAAAAACTCAATCTTTTACACCAAATTCAACCCGCTCCCGATCCTATGTGCTTCATACAAGCCTCTAAGCTACCTCTTTGGCAGAAAGCTATGACAAAAGAGTTCACAACACTTCAGCGACAAGGCTCATGGGTCTTGGTTTCGTCCCCAGTTAGTGAACCGATTCTTGGCTCAGGTTGGACATATACAACCAAAACAAACTCATGCGGAGAAGTCACATGCTACAAGGCACACCTCGTCACTCAGGACACAAGCAAGAATTCAGAGTTAACTATCATGAAACGTTTTGTACAGTTGCTAAAATCCCCATAATTCACCCATAATTCGCATCCTCATTATAGTGGCCCTTTATCATGGCTGGAATATACTCCAATTTGACATCTGCAATGCATTTCTTCATGCCAACCTCAATGAAATAGTTTACACAAAACAACCACCCAGATTTCAAGATCCTCAATTCCCAAATCGTATATGCTTGCTTAAGAAATCCATATACGACCTTAAATAGGCTCCGAGATGGTAGTTTATCACCTTCTCACATTTTTTCTTGGTTAATGGTTTTCATTTCAACAAAGTGGATTCATCCATTCTCTTATATTGTCAAAAAAATATTCAAATATTTGTGCTCGTCTGTGTTGATTGTATTTTCATTACCGACAACAACTCCATGGAGATTTCCAAGCTGACCAACAGGATGTTCACCACATTCAAGTTGAAGCATCTAGGTTCGATAGGGTGCTTCCTCCGTATTGAAGTAAAAAAATCTGCGAGCTCCTATTACCTCAGCCAAGAAAGGTATGTTCTTCAACTTCTTCATACGGATGCAGAATTGCACACCTCTTAACACTCCTATAACATTATTTCAACGGACCTCCTCCATAGATACCACACCATTCCAAAACCCTACACTTTACTGCTAATTAATCGACTCCCTTCAATATGTTACCGTCACCCGCCCAGACATAGCCTATGTTGTAAACTTATTATGCCAACACATGTATTCTCCGGCCACAACTCCCTACAAACTCCTAACACATCCGCTTAGATATCTGAAATACACAAGTCATTTTGGCATGGAACTACACGTCGGGGATCTTCATCTTCGCTCCTACGCCGATGTTGATTGGGCTGGGGATCACTTTGATCGAAAATCTACTACTGGGGTATGCTCTTTTCTTGGAGATACTCTAATTTTTTGGACAGTAAATAAACAATCAACAATGGCAAGATCGTCGACGGAGGCAGAGTACAAGGCACTGGCTACAGCTATCACCGATATTATATGGCTATGTCGACTTCTTTAGGAATTTAGCATCCATTTTCAGCATCCAAATCCTCTTTATTGTGATAACATATCGACTATCTCACTCGCCAAAAATCCTATTTTCCCACAAGGACCAAATACATAGAGATTGATTATCATTTTATACACGACCACATCAACTCCAAAGTTGTGCAAATTGAGTACATTCAAACTCAGTATCAACATGCCGATATGCTTATGAAAGCTCTTGCAAAGAGCAAATTTCATAAACTTCCCACCAAGCTTACAGTTCTTCCAAGAACCACCAGCTTGCATGGGGGTATTAGCAGCACTACATCACTACCTAAGGAATGATTATTAGCAACACCACACCACTATCTAAGGAATGTTAACACCTATGTGGCCCCAATGGTTATAGACACATATTATAACAAATTCTGTTATGAATTAATTTCTAGAATTTTTCTATGCTCTGTAAATATATTACTGTTGAGAAAATTAGGGCCAATAAAATTTCACACTAAATACCTATTTTTAAAAAAAAAAATTGGATATTTACATATGTGAAAAAAGGATTTATAAACCTTAGAATAGTCTTAGGAGAGTATAAAGCACTTTAAATAATTCTTGGAATTTTTCAAAGACCTAGGAATACAAACAGGTCTATTTATAATTCTAGAGTAAGCCCTGCAGTACAATATGTAATTCTCAAATTACCCCTGTACCGTATAGCCCCAACCTATATAACGTAACTTTCCAATTTGGACAGATTCTTTCGCTCCGCTCCGCTCCGCTTCGTTCCAGCGTTTGTCCCTATATGGTATATGAGCCACACCATAACAAATCTCCATCTTTGCGAATATCCAGCCCCTTAGGAGAAATATCTCCACCTTGCGAACATTCTGCCCCTTAGGAGAAAAATATCATGGAGTTTCTTATGCACAAATATGAGTTGAAACACTTTTCTTGTTCGCGCCAGCACATCGGCAAAACTGTTGTCCCATGAGCGAAACCCTTCGTGAAATACCTCCGCGAAACCACTGTTCGCGAATAATCGCGTCTACTCGCTCGCCAGCACCCCCGGGAAACCACTGTTCGCGAATAATCGCGTCTCCTCGCTCGCCAGCACCCTACCGAACACCTGTCGCAAACTCCACCTGCGACGAACTTGCAAACTTCGTTAGTCGAACACCACCAAAATCTGTAGCCCTTTATCCGAACTGCTTCACACCTGTTCGTTCCCGCGAGCCCGTCCGCCTTGTGAACAATTTTGATCCTGCAACAAAACTTTTCTGCAAAAAATTCCTCTGCAAAAATCCTTGCTTAGACCTCCTTTTTTAAAAAAAAAAAAAGGAAAAAAAAATTGAAATCTTCCAGCAAAGAAAAAAAAAATTTTCTCTCCGCCTCCAAGAAAAGAAATAAATATTCACTTTATTTCCTCTCCTTACCCAGCAGAGAAAATCCTTAATTAAATTTGCTTAATTTGATTTAAAGCAATTAAATTAAAAAGCTTTCCTTTTTTTTTTCTTCTTTTGAAAAATAAAAATAAAAAATTTCTTTTCCAATTTCTCAGTCAAGAAGATTTCCTTTCAGCGAAGCTTAATTAAAACCTTCCTCTCCGCAGCTCTTGGATGAAATTTTTGGAAAGAATTATGAGGGAATATTCCTCTGGTGATTCCCTTCCTTCTCAGCCCTTCTCCGCATGCTCCTTCCTTTTCTGTTCGCGATCAACACCGAACTCGCAAACGCCTCAGCGAGAGCTCCTCTTCCTGCCGCAAAGGCCTCCTTCGCGATCCTTCGGCCTGCTCGCGAACTCCTATCACGCCGTTCGACGATTCCGAACCGAATTCTGAGCCCTTCGCGCGAAAGCTCTGCGCCGAACCTGCTCGAACTTCGCCTTTCGCAGATCTCGCTTGTTCGCGAAACTTCCTTTGCGAAACGGAAGCCTCCTCGCCGAACTTAAGAAGCTGCGCCGTAGAGACGCAAGAAGCTGTCGATCTTCTTCTCCGACCGAAGCCTAGCAGAACTCTGCCGTTCCTGCCGCCGAGAATTTCTTCCTCACGCACGAAATTTCTTCCTTGCCCTCTAACCTGGCTCTGATACCACTTGTTGAAAAAATTAGGGCGAACAAAAACTTTCTATGTCAGGAAGTACATATCTCACAACAGTAGTTTATTACCTTCTCTTGTAAGTTTTTATAATTAGAGTTTGTAAGTTTAAGAGCTGTATTTTATGATTCTGAGACGGGTTGCAAATGCTCCTGTTCGCGGTAACTGCACACGAGCTCCTGTTCGCGAACTCCACCTTGCATAATGCCGTGAAGGTTCACTCTTATATTGTCAAAAAAATATTCAAATATTTGTGCTCGTCTGTGTTGATTGTATTTTCATTACCGACAACAACTCCATGGAGATTTCCAAGCTGACCAACAGGATGTTCACCACATTCAAGTTGAAGCATCTAGGTTCGATAGGGTGCTTCCTCCGTATTGAAGTAAAAAAATCTGCGAGCTCCTATTACCTCAGCCAAGAAAGGTATGTTCTTCAACTTCTTCATACGGATGCAGAATTGCACACCTCTTAACACTCCTATAACATTATTTCAACGGACCTCCTCCATAGATACCACACCATTCCAAAACCCTACACTTTACTGCTAATTAATCGACTCCCTTCAATATGTTACCGTCACCCGCCCAGACATAGCCTATGTTGTAAACTTATTATGCCAACACATGTATTCTCCGGCCACAACTCCCTACAAACTCCTAACACATCCGCTTAGATATCTGAAATACACAAGTCATTTTGGCATGGAACTACACGTCGGGGATCTTCATCTTCGCTCCTACGCCGATGTTGATTGGGCTGGGGATCACTTTGATCGAAAATCTACTACTGGGGTATGCTCTTTTCTTGGAGATACTCTAATTTTTTGGAAAGTAAAGAAACAATCAACAATGGCAAGATCGTCGACGGAGGCAGAGTACAAGGCACTGGCTACAACTATCACCGATATTATATTGTAATGTCGTCTTCTTTAGAAATTTGGCATCCATTTTCAACATCCAAATCCTCTTTATTGTGATAACATATCGACTATCTCACTCGCCAAAAATGCTATTTTTCGGACCAAATACATAGAGGTTGATTATCATTTTATACACGACCACATCAACTCCAAAGTTGTGCAAATTGAGTACATTCAAACTCAGTATCAACCTGTCGATATACTTATGAAAGCTCTTGCAAAACGCAAATTTCATGAACTTCCCACCAAGCTTACAGTTCTGCCAAGAACCATCAGCTTGCATGGGGGTATTAGCAGCTCTACATCAATACCTAAGGAATGATTATTAGCAACACTACACCACTATCTAAGGAATGTTAACGCCTATGTGGTCCCCAATGGTTATAGACACATATTATAACATTCTGTTATGAATTAATTTCTAGAACTTTTCTATGCTCTGTATATATATTACAATACCATGTTACAAATAGGGAATTCAATGAACAATATTCAAATTATGGTTTATGGTATAATGTTATTCGTTCCCATCACCTAAAATGCATTCCCTGTATCTCTCGATTCTCAGCATGGATTTGGATGGGAGAGTCGAATGCCTTGTGGAAAATAAATCTCCATTGTCGTCCCTAGCAAACCTAGACATGGAACATATGCATATGATTGCACTTTAGTTATATTAATACAATCATCACAACTAAAATATAACAAAATTCACATGTGCTTACTTCACACCTAATAATTTTTTGTTGACGCGATTGTATATGAAGGGAGGAGCATGAAGGGAAGACTAGCTTCGGGTTAAGGGTGTGATATGTAAATACATAAGAATTGTGTGCTAAGTGTGGTAAGTGACCCCATGTGAATAATTAGGGGACTATCTTGATAGTTTACTCCAGGGTTCAATGATATGGCTTTTCTTTGACGATGCAAACAAACACTTTGGCTTATTACCCTTTTGATTACATGCACACAGTATATTACTTTGCTTGGGCTAAGCCCTGTGTTACGCTTGTATAATTCTTTACGAGGTAAATAAATAACATTAAACTTCGCGTCGATGCGCAATCTCTGTTTCTTATGTGGTTTTATATGGATCATCGGCCTGACTTATAAGTTGAAGGTTTCAGCGATGCGAAGGATGATGAAAAAATATTATTTTTCGCTTTTTCTCGCAGCCGAGGCTTGAGAGTCCAACTCTTGCGTCCTTCCATATCCGCGCCAATGGATTACGACTATCGGAATCGTGCTGCTCCGCCCTACCGCCCTGCAGGCGCCGGATCATCCTTTTACCCGAGAGTCGGCCCTGCTGCTCCGCAAGCAGTCGGCCGTGGACCTCCCTACAGCCAACCTGCTCCACCTGTCGTATGTAAGCTTCGTAACCAACCGCTTTAATCGCTCTTTAAGAGAGGTCTGGGAGTTTCCGTCTAGATCGCCATTAATAGAACCCCCAGAATACCTGGGCGGTCGGAAATATCTAAGGTTTCTACTTTGCTGTATATGAATGGCATTGGACTGAGTAAGACTATCCTTTTATTCGCGTATCTCTTGATTTAGTTGGGAATGGGTTTTTCTTTGAGATAATTGTTTGATGAGGCATTTGATTTCTTCTTTTAAGCCCTTTTTCTTTTGAGCCCTTTGTAGGGGTCATCGGTGACCATTTATGTATTTACTCTTATTGAATGAATTAACAACAGCCTCACATGATTTTATTGTGGAATATTCAAATGAAATCAACTTTATTGACTTTCCCATTGATTCTTATAAGCTTTATGAATCCATCGCCTCCATTATTCTTGCTGAGTACTGCTAGTGCTGTTAATTGTAGCTTGTAGAAGAATTTTGGGCCATACTATTTTTTTTGTATGCTTGCACTTCATATTTCTTTCACGTTGATCATCTTGCTTGGTTTTTTGGTGCAATCGTCTATTCTTTGTTATACTAGACCCAATCATTATTCGTCTATCTTCTACAAACATTATATTCGATAAGTCTTTTACATCATCTAATATAACTATTTTGCACTATATTTTGTTTTTCCAAACTTACAACTTCACCTTGTATTGATCTTAAGGTTCTTATTTCTCTTATACTTTCAGTTTTCTTGTTAGAACCTTTTTTGTTATCCAAACAACATAACTGATGTATGTTATCCTAACAACATAGCTGATCTCGCATTGTAAAATTTACTTCTAAGTTTTTGTCATGAGGCACAATTCAATGGGGCTGTTAAGTCCAAAATATGACCGAGATAATGAAACTAGCTAGAGAGTTGTACAACAACGACAACAAACCTTTATCCCACCAAGTGGGGTCGGCTACATGAATCCTTTTTTTCCATTGCGTCGTATTGAACGTCATATTTTCATTTAATTCTAATAATTTAAAGATCATTTTTTATACGATAAGCCCAAGTCTTTCTAGGTCTACCTCTGCCATTTTTAACAGTGACAATGACAACAATAAAGTAAAACATTTACTCTCCTAATTGGATCATTAGATGATCGACGTTTAATTTGACCAAATCATCTAGGATGACTCTCTACTCTTGCCTCTAAATGACTCTCTCTAATTTTGTCCGTCAGTGGAGCTACACCAACCCTATCACGGATATATTCATTTCGCATTTTGTCTCTAAGTGTAAAGCCACTCATCCACCTAATCATTCTCATGCCGACAACACTTAAATTAGTATTATGCTTCTTTTTTAAAGGACAACATTCAACGCCATAGACCATTGTAGGTCTCACCACCATCTTGCAAAATTTTCCTTTTAGTCTAAGTGGTACATTCTTCCATTTCCATTTCAACCAACCGACTTAAATTCTACTATTAACATTCCCATCTATATCACCATCGCCTTGAACAACAGATCCAGGATATCTAAATCGTTCACACCTTTTAATAATTTGATCACCCAAGGTTACACTTATGTCACTAGAGCTACTACTACTAAATTACATTCCATGTATTCAATTTTAGTTCTACTCAAATGAAGGCCTTTAAACTCCAATGTAGACCTTCATAATTCAAGTTTTTCTTGGGCTTTTTCTCGTCTTATGCACGGGAAGATTTCATCAGAAAAAAATATACACCAAGGTACATCCTTCTGTAGTGGCCAGTAAGACCATCCATACCTAAAGAAAAAAGATGTGGGCTTAAATCCAATCGTTGATGTAAAAGAACAGAAATAGGAAAATATTTGTTCAATCCTCCTTCTATTTGAACACAAGTAACAACTATTGTATACATATCTTTAATGACTTGAATATAAGTCATATCAACTCCTTTCTTCTCAAGAAATCTCCAAAGGATATATCTTGGAACTTTATCTTAAGCTTTTTCTAAATCAATAAAAATTAGATGTAGATCCTCTTTATTTTCTTTGAATTTCTCCATCATACCTCTCAATAAATGTATAGCTTCCATAGTAGACCTGCTCGACATAAATCCAAATTGATTATGAGAAATTTTTGTGATATGTCTTAACCTTTGTTCAATTACTCTCTTCCATAATTTTAAAATATGACACATCAACTTAATTCTACTATAATTTGCACAATCTTGTGCATTTCTTTTATTTTTAAAAATGGGGACCAAAATACTCTTCCTCCACTCCTTAGAAATTTTTTAGTTTTTAAAATAATATTAAAGAGTTTAGTAAGCTAAGAAACTCCCAAATCTCATATATATTTTCACACTTCAATTAGGATACTATCACGTCTTACAGACTTTCCACCATTGGTTTTCCTTAAAGCCTCCTCAACTTATTTTTTATTTATGTGATGATAAAAATGAAACGTTATATTATTATTAACGATATTAAGATCATTAAGGTCGATCGTATTTCTAGAAACTTCATTAAAAATTTTATCAAAATAACTCACCTATCTATGCTAAATATTTTTTCTAAGAAAAACACCTCTTGATTTTCATCTTTAATACACTTGAGTTAATTCTTTACTTTTATTTTCTATTTTTTTGGCTAGTTTATTCATATATTTTCACCCTCCTTAGTGTATAATATATTATAAAGATCACTAAAAACAGAATTTTTAGCGTCACAGATTGTTCTTTTAGACTCTCTGCGGGTCGTTTGATATTTTTTTCAGTTCTCTAAGCTTTTACATTTAAACCAATTTTTATAACATAACCTCTTATATTTAATTTTTTCTTGCACATTATTATTCCACCACCAACTATCTTTATTCATAGAAACTTTTTCTTTTTGATTTTCTAAGTACATGTTTTACTACTTGTTTAATAATGTTTGTTACTTTATCACACATAACATTTCATTTTTCATGAACATCCCAAATTTTGAAATCTTGCATTTTACTCATAAAAATAATTTTTTTTGTATCTTTTAGGTTCTTCCATCTAATTCTAGGATGATGGTCTTTGTATTCTTTATTTTACAACTCTTCATCTTAAATTTTGAACTAATAATCGACGTTGGTAACTTAAATTCTCACTTGGAATGACCTTACAATCTTTACAATGTCGACGATCTCTTCTTCTCATAAGAAAATAATCAATTTATGTTTTATTAAATCCGTTATTATAAGTAATAAGATGCTCATCTCTTCGCTTGAATAAAGTTTTGGTAATAACAAAATCACACGCATAAGCAAATTCTAAAATGATTCTTTCTTCTTCATTAGTCACTCCAAAATCATAGCTATCATGAATATTTCTGAAATCTTCTACCACTTTATCGACATGTCCATTTAAATCTCCTCCAACAAAAAATCTTTCTTCAAGAGATATCATTTGTATTAATTCATTTTAGAATTTATCTTTAGACCCTATATCCTACTTGAGGAGTATAAACACTTATAATATTAAAAATATTAATATCAATAATAATATTAAGGGCTATAATTCTATCTCCAACTCTATTAATTTTTACAACATTATTTTTCAAACTCTTATCTATAATTACACCTACACCATTTCTAGTGCGACTTTTACTAGAGTACCAATGTTAAAAACTTAAGTTATCAATCTCCTTAGCCTTTTATTCAACCCATTTAGCTTCTTGAATATATAAGATATTAAAATTTCTATGAATCATAATATCAACTAATTCCATTAATTTACCATTAAAAGTACCTATATTTCAAGATCCTATCATAATATTAGTTTCATTAGTTTCATGAACTAACTTCGTTACCCGCATCCATCCGTAACGTGAGAACCCTTGCTTATTTGACACTATACATGGGCGTCGATATAGCGACCTGTGCATACTTTTCACTGTATTCAGACCATATAACGCGTCGCTTCCAGGGGATGCCTTAACGCTTACACAATGATAAAAAAGATTCATGTCATGATTTTTTGACAAGTTTTACGCTGGGTATTTACTACCTAACGCAATCCTTCATGAGGCCACTAAGAATAAAATAATATTTAAATTTTGTCAAAAAGACATTACAACAATAACAACAACAACAAAGCCTTAATCCCACTACGTGGGGTTGGCTACATGAATCATTTTTCTCCATTGCGTCCTATTTAGGGTCATATTTTCATTTAGTTCTAATAAATTAAGATCATTTTTTTTATAGAATAAGCCCAAGTCTTCCTAGGTCTACCTCAACCTTTCTTAACATAAATCAAATCTAAAACATCTAATCTCCTAATCGGATCACCAGATGATCGACGCTCATCAAAAAGGCATTATTAGATAATAATAAATACACTGATTTTTGTGAGATGACGAAGCAATGATGAGGCCACTATAGATTTTGAACCTCATAAAATATTTAAATTTACAACTTTAACTTGTATTTTATTAAGGTTCTTATTTCTCTTAGACTTTAAGTTTTCTTTTTAGTAACTTTTTTGTTATTCAAACAACAGAACTGGTTTTTGTTATCCTAACAATATAGTTGATCTCACATTTTAGATTTTGCTTCTAAGTCTTTATGATGAGGCCACTATGAATATACAAAAAAACATTTTAAAATTTGGCATAAGGCATCATTGAATAATAATAAATATGATGATTTTTCTAAGATGATGAAAGCAATGATGAGGCCACTATAGATCTTGAACCTTATAGAATATTTAAATTTTAAGTCATTGTTTACTTAAAATAGCATTTCAAACTACTATTTTATATCAATTTTTAAGATTAAGAATTACAGTTTTTTTTTATGATAGTAAACTAAATCACCATATTAATGATTTATATCATATTTATGAAATATTTTTAATTTTTTGAGTTTTGTTTTTTTTTTTTTGAGGCTTACACGATCCGCTTTGAGGCTCATGCGTCTCCTTGCTAAGGCAATTCGTCTCGATTCCCGTTTTTGCCTTTTTAAACTTTTCTATGGTGATCAACAAATGTTGAAACTAAGTTCACAAACAACATTCCACAGTCGATATGAATGGGTTATATATATATATATATATTATAGTAACTTATTCTTGTTAGATTTACTTCTGTGCTAAAAAATTACTACATGTACTACTACTTATTTTCTTGTGCATATTTTCATTGTCAACATTCAGATCTCATCTAACAGGGCAATATTATTTTCCTGTTAAGTTGGGCTTCCATGATGTTTCTCTATGACAACAATTGTTCCAATATACCTAAAATTGGCACTTTTTTTTTTCACTTAACACCATACATTTTAGATAGGATCTGTGGGCAGTTTGAGCAGATAAATAATTTATATATAATTGAATTTAATGACCATAATGTCTCATAAATCAAAAAAGATTTTCCTTTGTTAAACTTGTTACTTCTGTGTCTTTTTCTGTGATTTTTCAATTCTTTGATCTACAAAAGTCCCTCATATCTTTTCTTCATGATTGTTTAGCTTATGTATGTCATACAACCCCACAACCCTTTTTGCATTTGATTGTTTTAACAAGGACAGTATATCTTTATAAAATTGTCTTATTCATAATGTTATGGAAACTAACAACAATGTGAAAGATCAATTGTGAGATTTGACTCTCGTGTAGTCCTGTTACTAGATAATGGCACAAACCTAGGAACCCAGTGGCCCCCGCAACTCAGTCGGTTGACTCCGTTATGTTGTGGGCCTGGGCAATTCCAAATTCTTTTAGTCTGAACTTATTACACTTGCATGCTCTTTTGATACATGGAAACTACGTGGTTCTACTCAACATAAAACTATTGATTTAATTGATCTATTTATCTGATATATCTTATCTAGAAATAAATCTAATTTTCAGGCTAACCTGAACTTATTTATAGGTTAAAATTGCTTGACTTAGTTTCATTTGGCCTGACATTTTGTTATTACTCTTTCTGATCATTTTAAGGTCCATTTAGGGACATGAATAGTAGCCTTTGTTGCCTGTCAAGTAATGGGTTAAAAGCTTGTCATTTATTATTTTTTTCCTTCATATTTCTTTCAAACATTGAACTTCTTTTATGTAAATGGTTTTTTCTGTAGGATATTAAGATTTTTTATCTTTCTACAGCAGGATTGGGTATTAAAGTTGTACTGAAGCCAGAGTATCGAATGAATCCACCTGTAAGTTCGTTGTTCCTAAGTAATTGCTAGATTTTCTCGTTAAAAAGATTATTGGAATTGGAATGCACCTTGGCAACAATCATCCGTATTTCTTTGGTTTTTAATCTTCAGTCTATCAAAGTTCCTTAGAATAGTGTTAAAACCCAGCCTAGAAAATGATGGTTTTGAGGAAAATGATCGTTTTGAGGGCTTGGGTCATCGATATAGGGTTTAATTGTCTTGTCATCATGTAAATGTTGGGTCAATGGAAAATTATAAATTATTTTTAAAAGTAATACTATTAACGTAATTGCACAATATATTTTGAAATAAAATAAATAATCCATTACAATTGACATTGTAGATTATATGGGTATGTGAAATTAATTAAAAATGGTATAAATTTGTCAAAGCCATAGCTAACTAGAGGGTAATATAATGAAAGCATGTTCGCTTTAACTAACTAAATTTTGTAGCAATTGAGCTTGCAACCCTATGGCATTGTACCTTACCTCCAAATTGGAGGTATCAGATTCAACTCCTACAAAAAAGGAAAAGAAAGTCACTTTTATTATATGGTGTATTTCACTTTTTAAAAGTTAAAATGATAATGTTTTTGATGTGATATGAAAGATTTTGGTGGCATAAATGTTAAAAGCAAAGTTTAGGTGCTAGATATGTAAATACGTAGGAATTGGGTGATATGAATTTAAATGCCTAATTAAAAAGTGCTCTTCTGACATCCAAACCTAACAATATTTTCAACCATGGACTAACAAATCTAAAGATGGCCCTTGCAATGTATTGCATTGCAATGATTAGTGGTTATTTGCTTCTAAATAAATTAATTTTGTTCTTTTTGCATTACTTGATGCTGACTTTGTTAACAAAATAATTACTCCTAAACATATCATGTTTTTTGTTTATGTTCTTTTACTAATATTTTTTATTTAGCTCATGCTGTAAAGGGATGTGCATAATGTACCTGTCACTTAAGTATGAAAGAGCATATTATTAAGAGAAAAATAAAATACAATACTTCTGCATTAACTTCCTGCGTGTATAAGTTATTAGAAAACTGGTTAACTAGTAAGAGTAATGGCTGTTCAAAATACAATTCATAAGATTTCACATTGCTTGGTGTTACTTTTAATTTTATTGGATTTTTTCTACTTACAAATGTAATGATGTATTTTGAGGATTTTCTTTTTGTATGGATGGTGAGCCCTAAAATGAAGCAAACGAAGAGTGGTATGCTCATGAAACTCATTACTTTGGATCTAAAAAAAATCGAGTTTGGATCCTAACATGGTTACTTATCACTGAAAATGTTAAAAAAGTGAGTTTAATAATGTTGCGGTGCTATGCTTTTTGGTAAGAATTAAATTCTTTATTATCAATAGAGAATAACAATTTGTTAGTAAGCGTAGCGTTTATGTTGTGAAGTCATGGAGGAACTCCTTTCTTATCACAGCGCTTCTCATCTTTCTTTTCCTGCAAAATTAAAATGAAGATTTACAATATACCATACAATTCATGTGTATCTGCATATATAACACCCAAACTTTTATTTTTACATTTATAATAATATATACTTGTGTATGAAAATATATTTTGCTATTTTAGAAAATTAATAATAGTGATATTTTTTTATGCGATATTAAAGATTAGAGTGCTATAAATATAAAATTTAAAGTTTAAATGTTAAGTTTATAAATACATAAAAGTTAAGGTATGCATACAAATGCAGCAACTTAAAATTATAATATGTTAGATTTTTGAAAGCGAAGTAGCTGAACAACGTCAATTATTAGTTCTCATCATCCCCGCCCCCACCCCCAATAATAACACGGTCATATAGAATGGGAAAAATGAAAGTTTTTTAGACGATTTAAGTGAAAAATCTGACGATGAAAAAAAATTAAAATATATAGATTTAGACTTAGTAGAACAACTGAGTATATGACATGCAATTTTAATAAGTCATGATAATAACCATTACTAATCTATTTTATGAGAAGAGAAAGTGATTCTGTGATAGTTTTATTTACATTGAATCTATTATATAGAAAAATGGAGATTTAAACGGAGTGCAATTTTGAGAGTTAAGCTTGGGTGTTTAAAATGGAGACATGCCTCAGGAGTATATATGATATGAGGATGTATAATGGAGTGCTCTGATAGTAATTTCTATAAAACAACAATGATGATGATCATGTTTTTGCCATTTAAAAAAAAATGCTTTGGCCAAATTTCAGTTCAGCAAAGGTTGAAAAATGCAGAACTGAGCATTAAAATGACAAAAAAAAAGTCAATAATTTTAAAAAATGCCTAAGGGATGTAGATTGAATGAGTCTACATAAGAGGTAGTGAATGGGAAAAAGCTTTGAGATGCTTCTCTTAGTAACAAAGCACTTTTTTCTCTTCATCTATTCTTACCAAATAAGTGGAGTTGTAATGAATTGTTTTATTCTTTTCCTGTTGTTTTAGTTGGTGATGCATCATTTCCTCCTATTAGGCTTGTAAAGTTATCTTGACTTAGCACGGTCATATGAAACCATTTTGGCTGTTCTTCTAATAGAGTGAAGTGGGCATTGGTTGTCTAGAGGTCCCTCACGGTTAGGGACTACACAATTGCACTCTATCTCTTCCTATTTGGATTTTGAGGTGAGAAATGGAAACCGCATTATTTCTTAGCTATAACATGGAAATGTCGTGAAAATGACTTGAAATGTCATAGTCTGTGATATCAGTTTTTAATAATAATTATTATGATTTGAAAGAAGAAAGAGCGTTCAAAATTTTTTTAAGAAGAATTTTTATGCAATGTGTAATTCAATATTGAAAAGAGAAATTATTCTGGCAAGGGTATAAGAAGGCGTGGAATTCACCACAGATTTTATGCATTTTTTTTTATCATTTTGATTATTTCACGGATGATGAAATTTTTTGATGGATGATTTTGATCAAATAAGAAAAAATGATCACACGCTTCTCTCTCTTTATATATGTATCTATATGTACAGCCAAAAGCAACTAATATAGAACAATACGAACATGAATCTATCTAAATGAGCCACCTTCCCGATCTTGGCTTGTTAAAGGATCCAACCCAAAATACAAATGACATAATGGCCCAGTTTTGCCAATTTGGACGTACGCCGATTGAGCTCGAGCAATTGAATATAAGAGATCGAGTATTAATGGTCAAGTACGAGTACACGTAATACGAATGCCAAAATAGAAGTTCACTAGGACAAGAGAATAGGGGCCAATGATAACTCTTGAGTTGCATTCCATTCGTTGAACAATCATTTGTCTTTGGGGAGAAAATCTCCATGTAAGTTTTTAACTTAAATGATGGCAGATATTTATTTTATATATAAAAACTACCCTTATAAAAGGGGGAGAATTAAATTTAAAAGGATTATGATCCCAATCCGGTGAAATTCTATTTCTTTTGGGGGCAACATGATTACTAAACTGGATATTCGTAAGGCTTATGATTCGATTAGTTGGGAGTTTATTTTGAAGATTCTTCATGCTCGTGGCTTCTCTCAAGAGTTCTGCAAACTTATAAATTCCTGACTTCATTGTAATAAGTACAACATTCTCATTAATAGCAAATCTCGAGGCTTTTTTAGTGCGGGCCGTGGGATTAAGCAGGGAGATCCTCTATCCCCTACTATATATATTTTAATTTTTGACTATCTCTCCAGTCTTCTTAACAATCTTTTCAGGAGGAACCCCAAGTTGCAATATGCTCATAAATCTAACATGATGGTATCTCACTTAGCTTATGCCGATGATATGATCCTATTTTCTAATGCTAGCAAGAATACGGCGTGGAGATTCATAATGTCATGGTTGATTTTCAATTTGTCTCGGGCCTCTCTTTCAATGCTAATAAATGCAATATGTATCTGGGGAACATGGTTAATCGTTCTAGTGCCTCCTGGATAGCTAATTTTACGGGTTTCCCCCTCTCTACACTTCCACTTAAATATCTAGGGGTTTTTATCCTTAAGGGCAGGAAGAGACGTATACAGTTTGACGAGATGGTGGAAAAGATTCGGAAAAGAATCTTGGATTGAAAAAATAATTTCCTCTCCTTTGGGGGACGTATTACACTGCTTAGGAGTATTCTTCATTCACTTCCTTTGTATATTCTTCAAATTCTCCAACCCAAAAAAAACACTATTACGACTCTTGAAAGATGTTTCAATAAGTTCTTATGGGTGGGAAATCATTCTGGTAGAAGATGGTTACCTTGGAAGGATGTTTGTAAACCCGTAAGCGCTGGTGGGCTGGGTTTCAAATCTCTGCATTATATTACATATATCAATGTTTTCAAGCAATGGTTTAATTTCAGGAGAAAAGAGTCTTTATGGGCTAACTTCATGCATGGAAAGTATTGTCGTTTTTCTCATCTTGCTTTGACGAATTGGCTGTTAGGCAATTCCACGATGTGGAAGAGACTGCTTACTGTTAGAGATTGGACAAAGAACTACATTTATTGGGAGGTGGGTCGAGGTAACCTATCTTTCTGGCACGATTGTTGGTCTCATGTTTTGCTGAATACGAGGGATATGAGGTTTTCTAACCTCAAAGTTTTGGATGCTTGGATTGACGACCATTGGAACCTCCCTTTTCTTACTAATATATTGGGGCTGGAGGGAGCTACTTTCATTTCCACCATACCTTTTGATTCTCATCTGCATGATACTCCTTATTTGAAATTACCCATGACGAGCTATATTACTAAATCCTTATATGCCTCTCGTTATAATTTTCGAAACACCCCTTGGGGAGAGGGGGTGTGGAGTTGGGCTTTAAGCCCGTCGATGTCTTTCTTGGCTTGGCGTATTTTTCATTCTATCATACCTTGTGATGATATTCTTAAGATGAAAGATTTGAGAATGGGTTTGAGAATGACCTCCAGGTGTTGCTTGTGCCTTATGGCGGAGGAGACCATTGAGCATACCTTTTTCTCATGCCCCCTTTTCTTTATTTATTCTTTT